CACCTACTATTCACCTTATCTATAAGGTCACCTGTCAACCTCCTACACTCCATTGGAGAAAGATCCCAGTCTATCCAGCCTCTCCTTTTATAACTTAAGCCCTTCATTCCCGGCAACATCCTGGTAAAGCTTTTCTGAATCCTCTGCAGCTTAATAATGTCATTTCATTGTTAGAATTTCCTTTTCAAGTAGATTTCAAATTCCCTTTTGGAAGTTACAATTGAATTTGCTTCCACTGGTGTTTCAGGCCGTGTGTTCCAGTTCATAGCAACTCACTGAGTCTTAAATAAAACATTCTCCTCATCTCCACCCTCTGGCTTTTTTGCCAATTATTTTAAATCTGTGCCTTCTACTTACTGAGAGATTATTAATTAAACCTAGAGCCAGGGGCAAGCCAGGAGACTTCCCAAAACTTGATCTGAAGTTAACTTTTGAAAATATGAAATGTAGTGTTCTGATGCAAGGTGTAGTATCAAGCATCAAGAGGAAGTGCTACTGAGATGAGTTCTACACGTTGCTCCCAGTTAAAGTAAATGATCTGAGTGTTAATTAAACCCTTCTGTTCAATGTCCAGATAACACCTGATAACAAGAACTTCCAACACCTTTTTTTTAAAATCATAAAAAATTCCAATTTACCTCAGAGGAGTGTTATCAAACAAAAGTTGACACTGAACAACGTTAAGAAATTTTAGGACAAGGTGACTGAATGTTTGGTCTAAGATTTTGTCAGTTTTAATTATATTAGGGTATAAGGAATGTAAGAACCTGCTCCGATATTCATCAAGATCAAGGCTGAAGGTGTAACTCCAACCCACTTTCCCATACTACCATGTACCACTTCACTTGTTCCTCAAAAAATTCCCTCCAGGACAAATCCTTCCTTGGGTAAGGAGACCAAAACTGCACACTCTTCTCCAGGTGAGGCTTCACTACTGTCCTCTACAATTGTATCAAGACCTCTTTATTCTCATACTCCAGTTTGCTTCCAACAAAACCTAAATTATAATTTTCCTTCCGAATACTTTGCTGTATCAACATTTAACTTTCTGATTCACTTTGACAGGTCTGCCGTGTCCCTCCAAATACAAACATTTCCTAGTCTCGTCCTCACTTTTTATTGAAACTTTTCGCGGCAAATTGGATAACATTGCACGTTGTCACCTTGCATTGTATTCCGTCTGTCATGTTCTTGCTCAATAAAACCATCATGTGTCCTTCAATGCATTTTCTGTGTTGACCTCACCACTGGCTAACCAACAAACTTTTGTATCGTCAGCGGACATGGATCTGTTACTCACAGCCTTGCTCACAAGTGCGTAAAAGAAAGAACAAGAGATTGAAGACATTGCTTCCTTTGAAGCCTGGCATGTTCCATACAGTGAAGCAAACAGGCTACACCCAACAAAGGAAAACCGAGAGGCAGTGAGTCTGAGGGAGGCTTAATGGGTGGAGCTGTTCAAGGTGATTCTAATCAATGCGGCAGTAACAACAAATAGGAATACTCAAAATCAGAGGAAAACTGAGATCGCAGAGGATTGCAGGACTGGAACAGGTTGCAGAGGATTAGGGTGTTTATCAAGAAGATGAGAATTTTAAACCAAAGAGAGCAAGGATACAGTTAAATTCTTAGAATTGCATCAGTTTTGTAGTTGGATTACACACAGCGAAAAATATATGTGATAATATAATGAACGGAACAAAATTACCACAAGGTGACCACAAATTATTACTGAGCTTATCTCCTTCTGTGTTTTTGCACAGTGCTGCAGCAATTATAAAAGCAAACAGAACATTAGGATGTTAGCTGGAGTCGCGGAAGAAAGGTCAACTGAAGTTGTGCTAAAAAAGTTTGCAATGCGTCCGTCAGACTGCACTGGAAACAAATTGTTTCATTCTAGTCCTCACCCTAGATCGAATCTTAAAAAAAAACAGCAATAAGAAGGAATCTAAGGCTGTGATTTGCAGAAAAAAGATACATCCAAACAAGGGTTATAATTGTGGGATATAATTGTGTAAAAAGCAGAATAGGTGTATTAAATGTCATGAGAAAGTGGCATTTTCCATACTATTTTCAGGATTGTTCTTCTCCCATTGTTCCTGCAACAAGAAAGGAAGTGTTACACGACCTGTTGCTGGCTAATTAGGTTGTGGACTTAAAAAGTAAGTGAACATTGAGGATGCAGTGACCACAAGATAATTAGGTTCAATCTCGGAATACAAAAGGAAATTGAACAAGCAAGAAACATGCCTGTAGTTATTCTCTGGTATCTTTTCAAATCTGTTTGTAATTCCGTTCCATTGAATAGATAAAAGTAAGTTATTGCCTGCTTAAAAAAAGACTGGTCTTTTTCTCTAAAAGAAGGAAAGTTGATCAATTGAACCATAAATCAGTAAAAAAAACGGAATACTTTGAAGACTGGTGGGATAAAGAAGGACAATAGGTTGAAGTCTGCACTAAGTCAAGTACCATTCTGTGTCACCAGTCTTTCTCTATGGCTGGATCAGAACTCTGGAACAGTTGTAGATGTGTCTGACCGCATTAACTGCAGCAGTTCTGGACACATGAAAACAAAGATCATCAGAGCAAGAGTAGGCCATTCTGCTCGTCGAGCCTGCTCCACCATTCAGTATGGTTATGGCTTATCATCCAATTCAGTCCCCTGTTCCTCCTATCTCCCCCATATCCCTTGATCCTTTCGCCACAAGAACTATATCTAAATCCATCTTGAAAATATTCAGTGTTTTGGCCTCAGCTGCTTTCTGTGGCTCACCACTACTTCCTCAAAGACAATAAATACAAACCCAGCTCATGTGTTCTCCGTGAGGGAATATTTTACAAGTTCTAGAATTTAAAATAAATAAACAGATATTGTTTGCAGGGCAGTAAATAAATTAAAAGTTCCAAAACAAACATAAAATTAAGAAGAACATTATGTGGAGGGTAAATACAAAGGCTGAGAGTGTGTAAGAGTGGGAAAAAAAAGGACAAAATTATAAAGGGCAGTAAGGACTTCTTAGGGGTAGAACGAGAATAGTCTGGGGTCAGATGGAAAAGAGACAGAAAGAAATACTCCAGCAGTGGTGAATAGGGAATGGCTGATATTAATGAAGTAAATTACTTTGAGCTTTCTGAGGGAGAGGGCTCTTGTGGTATAGTGGTAGTGTCCTTGCTTCTAATACAGATGTCCCAGATTCTAAGTTGCACCTGCTCCAGCGGTGTGTAGTAATGTCTCTGAACAGGCATGGTTAAGAAATTATATTGAGAAAGTTGTCTTTGAGACTGTAAAATCTCAAAGTTAACAAAGCTTGCTGTTGTTTTTATTCAAAGATGAACTATGCTCATAGAGTTTAAGTAGATAAATCTTATTCATCTGATGGTTTCCAGAAAAAAGATTAGGATAAATAGTAGACATCCTGGTGATTTTTAAAAGTATTGTTGTTTAAAGGCCCTGTGAGAGCATTGCAGGAAATAAACTGGGGTGAAGCTAGGCTAGCTGGCATGAGTACAGGAACAAGAATGTCTTGCTGCAATTATACAAAACATTGCTGAGGGCACACCTAGAATATTGTGTGCAGTCTTAGTCTCTTTAGGATGTCCTTGCCAGAGAGGGAGTCCAGCAAATGTTCACCAATTGATTCCTGGGAAGGTAGGTCTAACGTATGAGGAGAGATTGAGTTAGTTAAGATTATATTCACCGGAGTTTAGAAGAATGAGGGGGTCTCTGACAAAAGCCTATGAAATTCTAACAGGACTAGACAGGTTAGATGCAGGACCCAAAATGACAGCTTTCCTGCTCCTCTGGTGCTGCCTGGCCTGCTGTGTTCCTCCAGCTCCACACCTTGTTATCTCAGACTCCAGCATCAGCGGTTCCTATTATCTCTTAGATGCAGGAAGGATGATGCCAGTGATGGTGGAGTCCAGAACTAGGGGTCATATTTTAAGGATAAGGGGTAAACCTTTTAGGACTGAAATGAGGATGAATTCCTTCATCCAGAGAGTGGTCAGCCTATGAAATTCACTACCACAAAAAGTGTTTGAGGCCAAAGCATTATGTGTTTTCAAGAAAGAGAGAGGATGTAGCTCTTATGGCTAAAAGGGATCAAGGGGAATTGAGGAGTGTTGGGGGGGTGTTGGTGGAGGGATGGAATTAGAATACTGAGCTCAATGATATTGAATGGCGGAGCAGGCTCGAAGGGTCACATGGCCTACTCCTGCTTCTATCTTCCATGTTTCAAGTCTTAAGTTACTTTTAAATGACTGGGACTATAATATTGGATGAAGTTATGAAACATTTTCATTTATAAGTTATATTGGTGGAAGTTGAGGAGTTGGAAGAAATAATAGAAAGGGATAGATGAAGAGAAATGTGTTCAACGCAATTAATATGGAATTTTAAAGTGTATTTGACGTGATATCATACGATGACAACTTGAATTTACATGGCGGTTTTATCACAGTAAAATGTTCCACCATGCTTTGCAGCTGCAATGTCAATCATGATTTAACGCTAAGCCACAGATTAGGAACGCAAGCACAAAGCCTGGATGATAAGGTTGTTCATTGAAGAGTGATTTAAATGAAGTGAGAGAGGTAGAGAGGGTTGGGGAGGGAATCAGGAGATGAAGGCATGGCCATCAATGGTAAAATAACTCGGATAATGACTCCTGGAGTTAAAATGGGGAGATGTCGGAGATGCATTGTTGGAAGGCAGAAAGTAACTTGGCAAAGAACCTTTTCTTAGATTAATACATTCCTGTAAGTGGTGTTCCACTTGCTTATCTGTATTTCCCAGTGTTATTTTAACTGTAATGTCAAAATAGCAATCAAAAAATCCAGATGGGAAACTATGTACTTGTTAAGGTCATATCTACCAACATATGCACACAATAATCTGCATTTGTCACTTGAGGGAACAGTATCAAAATTTACAGATGACTCTAAACTGAGGGTTGGGGCAAATTGTGGCAAAGGGCACAGGAGTACATAGATGGAATGCTTGTGAGTGTGAACAATACGGCAAACAAAAAGGCAAGGGAGAGGTGAGAAATCCTTTTATTCCTGAGTTGTGATGATCCTGAATTATTGTCTGGAAGCGTGATGAAAGTAAATTCAACAGTAACTTTCCAAAGGGGAATTGAATATATACTTGGAAAGGGGGAAACAAATTGCAGGGCAATAGCAAAAGAATAGATGAGTAGGACTAATTGGAGAACTGGGACAAGTATGATGGGCTGAATGGTCCCTTTTGTATGCTGAATGATTCTGTGCTTATTGGTGGACTGATAGCAGATGCAGTTTGTTGTAGTAAAATGTGAAGATCTATGTTTCTGGAAGAATATGAGAGAATTAAACTTAAAATTTTAAACAAAGCAAGGGAACAGATGGGTAAGTCATTAAAGGTAGCAAGGTTGTTAGCTATGACCATAGAAGGCATAGAGCTTGTTATCTATCATTGTTTGAATGTCACGGTTAAAATAACACTGGGAAATTGAGGCAATATTGCACAGATATTGAAGTTTCGCAGTGCTATAATTAGGTGTCAGGCCTCACTAGGATAGCGAACTGGAAATCAAGTTATATTATTCCCAGAGTTATCACAAAAGTGAAAGACTTTATCAAAGTATGCAAAATTCCCCAACTTATCTGTTTGTTTAAACCCAGAAAGCATGGGCCAAGAAATACTGCTTGTTACAAATAAATACATTTTAGCTATGGGTAAACAATTATAAATGTTGACGTATATCACTATTTGTTAGAACTATAGAGATAGTAAGAACTGCTGATGCTGGAGTCTGAGACAACACAGTGTGGAGCCGAAGGAACACAGCAGGCCAGGCAGCATCAGAGAAACAGGAAGGCTGACGTTTCGGGTTGGAACCCTTCTTCAGAAAAAGGGTCTGAAGAAGGGTCCCGACCCGAAACGTCAGCTTTCCTGCTCCTCTGATGCAGCCTGGCCTGCTGTGTTCCTCCAGCTCCATACTGTGTTGTTAGAACTATAGCCCCCCTTACAAATTTACATGCATACAAACAGACACAGACAGACAAAAATAATTGGTATTATGAATGGAGGGGAAGGCAGTTCAATGGTACCTGTCCATAGCTTTCATTGAGATAATCCTTTTGATGACTAGGGCTTGATGTTCTCTAATCTCTCATCCCCAGTTACTTTTTACCTCCTTGTCAGAGGCACAGAGCATCGGGTAAAGCAATTGCAACATCACTTCGTTACTATCTAAAAGCCACAGCTTATAGCAGCTCATAATTGAAAATAAACTGGCTTTCTTCAGGCTTCAGTTACTTTCTGATGCAGAGAGAGAGAGAGATAAACACCACCTCTCCTTCTGGAAGTCCAAATGCTTCTGACCACAGCGTTTACACCACAAGCTGTTTAACTACCTGGGAGCCAATCACATAGTTATTGGCAGTCTGATGGCGCTTTGCATCGACAACTGGTCACTGCTCCACAAACCAATCAGCTACTTATTGCCAGTCAAATCTCACTTTGTACACACCTCGTGGTGCCAGCCTATTTGTAACTAAGCCTCCCCCACTGGTTGAAAAAGCAGCAGTGTAAACACCACTTACAATCAATGTCAGTAACTTGCTTTTAAAATGTGCAGGAATCCCTTCCACCGTCCTTGCATTTGCCCAAGTAGTTCTTTTCCCATTTCAGTTGACAATCAAAATTACAGGGAAGCAAAAAGGTAGTCTTTACATGGGCCACAGTTGAAGTATTGTATATTGTTTTGGGCACCCCCTTTATAGAGAAAGGTAAAAACTCTTGAAAAGATGAATGATTAATAGACTGGGATGTTAGAAGAGATAAGAGATGGGGGCAGCACGGTGGCTCAGTGGTTAGCACTGCTGCTTCACAGCGCCAGGAACCCAGGTTCGATTTCACCCTCGGGCAACTGTCTGTGTGGAGTTTGCACATTCTCCCTGTGTCTGCGTGGCTTTCCTCCCACAATCCAAAGATGTGCAGGTTAGGTGGATTGGCCATGCTAAATTGCCCTGTAGTGTTCAGGGATGTGTAGATTAGGTGGGTGAAAGGAGGATGTGTCTGGGTGGGATGCTGTGAGGGTCAGTGTGGACTTGTTGGTCTGAAGGGCCTGTTTCCACACTGTAGGGCTTCTATGAATTTCTATGAAAATAACTGGCACTGATATGATGGGCTGAATGGTTTCATTCTGCAATATGTCAGTTGATGCAGGTCCATGGCTCAGTGAAAAAGAGAGTCTTCAGGTTATACAGGTGTTCTCCATGGTATTGGCCCTACCCAGGATCCTGCTGTTTATTAAGGTTCATGATACTGTAAATGGTAAGATATTGGCTCAGATCAAACAGTGGTAATGATGATAAAACTAACAAGTCACTGTCATTACATAACTGAAGCTATCAGAAAAGTTGGGAGTGTGCAAGTCTGTAGAATAATCCAGAATTGCTTGCAGCAATTCTGCGCTTCTCCAGTGGGTGCACTGTTGAGATTACCTCCAGACTTTAACCCCTAAAGAATCACAGAACATCTTGTTTAAAATGTTTGTCTCCTTGTCAAAACGCTTGAGGAGGTTTCATCTTGTTACATGAGATTTTTGAAAAACTTGGTATTAACTTCACCATTGGCCCTGGAAAACTTGATTTTATATTTGTGGAATAACATATTTCTGGATGTTAAAAATCATATATTTTAAATTTTCGTTCAGTTCGTCTTTATCCTAAGGCTGCCTTGTTGAGTAAGGCAATGAAAGGTGTTCTCACTGCCTTCAGTATTGTAACACTTTACTGAATACAGCTCTCTACTGTAGTATCTAAGCCCTTCTCTTTTCATACTTCTCTCTGGCTTGATCTTCTGCCCTACTCTGTCAGACTAACATTGTCAATTAAAATCACCGCCACTGCATGTTTTGTTATACTATACAATCTACAGTGCTGTGACCTCTACCACAGAAGCATTGTTTGATTGACTAGAGCCTGGTGTGCAGTGGTGTACCAGATGGATCAATGCTGAATCTTTTTGAGCGTCATGAGGTTGGCAACAATATGAGAGGGATGATCGGTAAGGTATAGGGTGACACAAACAATGGCTGGCTGGTTGACAGTGAAGAGGGAGGCATTAGGTTTACAGGAGGATATCAACAGATTGATCAGAAGGAATTTAAACCTGATAGGTGTGAGATGATGCACTTTAGAAGAAGTTAGAAGACAAGGGAGTAGTCAATGAATGGCAAGACACTGGGAAGCTCAAGAGGAACTTGGGGTACTTGACTACAGATCCCTGAAGGTGGCAGGGAAGGTTAATAGGGTGATTAAGAAGGCATATAAGGTACTTGTCTTTATAAGTCATGGTGTATATTGTAAGAGTAGGAGGCCATGTTGGAGCTGAACAGACAATGGTTAGGCCACAACTAGAGTATTGTGTGTAAATTGGAACACCGGACTATAGGAAGAATGTGATTGCACTGGAGGAAGTGCAGAGGAGATTCACCAGGATGAACTCAGGTTGTTTTCTTTAGAGCAGAGAAGGTTGAGCAGGGACCTGATAGAGGTGTATAAGATTATGAGGGGCATGGACAAGGTGAATTAAAAGCGGCAGTTTCCCCTTAGGCGTAGGGTCAATAACAAGGGGACAAAATTTTAAATTGAAAAGCAGGAGGTTTAGAGGGGAGTTGAGGGTGATGGGTGTCTGGAATGCACTGCCTAAGAGGTTGGCGAAGGTGGGAAAGCTCACAACCTTTAAAAGGTATTTGGATGAGCACTTGAAGTGTCACAACATTCAAGGCTATGGCTCTAGTGTGGGAAATTGGATCTAGTGTGTGTAGTAGAATATTTTTGGCAGTACAAACTTGATGGGCTGAAGGGCATCTTCTGTATATTCTGATTCTAGTTCCGAATGCACAGTAGCCAGAGTGGGGGGGCTTGAGTCCTGTTCCGTTGACACCAATCTGGTCCCCACTGGCAGTCTAGCCAGCTGAGCCACTCAGTCACCACCAGAGGATTTCGATAGCAACATGTAGTTCATCATTCCTGTTGTAGCCCACACCTATGAACAGTGATGGAAAAGACTGCAATTATAATCCCATCAAGTGGTTGACCGGAAATCTCTGTTGCTCTTGCCACCTGCTATTGGTTGATGTCGGAATGATTTGCAGGTTGATATTCAACTTGTTTAGCTGCAATTCCTTACTTACATATCTGCCTTGGCCATTGGGGTGGGACATGAACACGGATTTTCTGACACAGAGATAGAGATGCTACACACTGTTGTACAGGTGAGGCAATGGCCTAGTGGTATTATTGCTGGACTGTTAATCCAGAGACCCAAACAACTTTCTAGGCACCCAGTTCAAATCCTACCAGGGCAGATGGTGGAATTTGAATTCAATAAATATCTGGAATTAAGAATCTAATGATGACTGTGAATTGACTGTCAGGAAAAACCCATCTGGTTCACTAATGCTGTTTTGGGAAGGAAACTGCCATCCTTACCTGGTCTGGCCTACATGTGACTCCAGAGCCACAGCAATGTAGATGACTTTTAACTGCCCTCTGAGCAATTAGGGATGGGCAATAAATGCTGCCTGGACAGCGACGCCCTCATCCCGTGAGTGAATAAAAGAAAAAGGAGAACCTGCACCTCCAATTAGGGCATACGTTTAACATCACAACAATCCAGCAAAAGGAAGGTGAATGGCTGAACAATGATATACTTTGTTTAGACCTATTGGAACAAAGTCTATAAGAAGATAATATCAAGCTGAGGGGTAAAGCTTTATTGAGCTGAAACTCCTTTTCTCATCCTTAGCTGTTCAAATCCAGGAGCTGACTGGTTCAAATCCTCGCAGTGGAATGGTGATTAGGTCTTTGTGTGTATACATACGTGCTGGTGTAGTTTTTAACAAATTCATGTCAGAAAACCAGTGCAAGTTTTATATTTGTGTATATTTCGGGCTGTTTTAAGTTTAATTGATACTGTGATTTACTGGGGCCCGGTGGAATCTAGCACATTTCATATTGTGTGCAATAAGATCGCAGAATCCCTACA